CCTGAATTTGTAGTCTATTTTAATAGCAATATATTTAGTAAGGTACTTTATCTGGTAATAGGTTTCCTTGTCTTATTTTACAATGGCCCCACACAAAGTTGTTCTTCCATTGAGGCGTCTTTTGTAACCTTAGCCAGATAAATTGAAGAAGTGGACCTGGCAGCCTTTCCACTTGATTGGGAAGCCATAGTGTGGCCTCCTAGACAAGGTGACAGGCATAGAGTTGGGCTGGTACCAGAGTTTGTCAGAAATCGATTTCTGGAAAAGCATGTGAGCATTAAGGATAATCAAAGTCAACTCACTCACCTATGCAAAAGTATTAAGAATGTAGAGCTGAAAGGATACAGCTAACTGCATCCTTGAGCTGAATTTCAGTAATGATCATGACAAGGAGTCCAGGTACTGAATAGCATCTTTTAAAAGAGTAAGCATCTTATTTCTTCTTGCATGCCATTCAGGACTTTAGTGTCAAAAGACCTTACAAGCAGATGACACAAGTCAGGCACGATGCTGTATTTGATGAAGGTTGAGTTTTGTTTTCTGGGCCTTTTTAATTCTCTTCATCTTGGCACAAATGCACATAAGATGTATATGGAGAAATCTGTCCTGTACAAAGGACATGATTTCTTCTCTTTAGCTATCACAGCATTAATATATTGCTGGCCTTCAGGAGCCTTCAAATGTTCAGTCTGAAGCTGCAGACTTGTGTCACAATTAAACATGATACATGAATGTTTGTGAGAATAGATTGGAAAAAGATGTATTTTTATCCAGCTTTGCTCCCAAAACCAAATACAACAAAACCAAATACAATGAAAAGTGTGATTTCTGGTGCAAAGCACAAGTGTTCCTAAGCCCAGTCTAGGTACATGTCTGTTCACTTCCCCTCCCTATTTGAAAAGGAGGCAATGCTATTTTAGATCACTTTCTGTGGATCGGGTTTATTTGCCTGAAAGCCAAATCTCATTAAAGTCTCACATAAAATCAAACCTCCAGCCTCTCCCATGGGCTCACAAAACAAAGTTCAAACTGTCACAAAGCAACTTGCACAACTGTTGATACCAACACTTTTATGCACTGCTGCCCTTGAGACTCAATGCTGTTGTGGAGAGAGGGAAATACTGTTTGACTATCAAGGTAATCAGTAAAGCTGTTATAGCTATAGTCTTCGCTGGGCTCGTTTGGTCTTTAATTGATGCCTGTAGTGAGCTTGCACAAGTGGCAAAGTCTGGTCTCTGCAGATTTGGTTGCAACTGAAGTGCCCAAGATGATAGAGGCAAAAGAGCAAAGGTTAAAGTGAGGCAGCAGCATGGGTACTGTTGGGTGATGGTGAGAACAGTTGGCACAAACATAAGTGAACAGCCCGTTCTTGTTCACCAGTAAATGAAACTTGGGGTTCCTGCTGATGTCTCTGCAGCTGGGGATCCCTCAGTTAAAGTCACCAGTGATGCAAGAGCTCTTCTCTGTCAAATCAGCTCTGACCTTCCCATGGCAGAAATAACTGGTCCAGCCCCCTTATCCTGGAGATGGCCATAGTGTGTGCAGATGAGCTCCTAAAAAGTATGGACCACTGATTCCTGGTGCTGTGTAGAACTGGTGGTACCCACTCTCTTAGGCAGTAAAACAGCACCCATAGGTCCACCCTAAGTGCTAAGCTGGTGTCTCCAAACACCCAGATTAAATCTGTGTGTTGGGTTGCTGCTTTGCAGAGGGGAATGACACTGATCAGATAAAAGAGCTTCCTCCTGGCAAGGTGGAAACCCCCTTTCTGTTGTCCATGGTTGATTGGTCACAAATGGGGGCCAGAGACAGCCGTGCAAAAAAGGCTTTCAAAGCGTGCCGATGGGGGGACCATAAATTGTGTGAACGAAAATGCCCTTTCCCAGAGCCAAAGTCATAACTTCCCATCACTTCCCAGAACAAATACTGTCTGCTGTATTTATTAGGTGGGACTGTGTATAGGCAGTCGCTCTAAGGGTGTTTATTTTGAAGTCATCAGTTGTTCAGTAATCTCAGGCACCTCTGGGAGATTTAACTCCGATAGAGGTTTAGGCTGGAGGTCGTGGGGTCACTGATACTAAGATAGAGTGAAGGAAAGGAAACAGCATTGTTTTTGTGGCATTATCTGAACAGTAAGTAAAAATAAATTCAGGTTTTAAGATGGCTTTAACCTGACTCTGAAGGAAATGGCCTACAAATCCAGCCAACGAGCAGGCAACTGCAATGAGACCCCACTTCTCTTCAAGATTGTTTTGAGCCGCCTGACCAAAACCCGTAGTGGTTATGGTTTGATTAAGCAAGACTTCTCTAGGAATCTGTTTTAAGTGGTTCCAGTTTTTCTTTTGCATATTTTTGTTTCTAGCTTTAACTTCCTTACTAAAATAAAATCTCTTTAGTTGCTTTTTGGGCAGCAGTTTGAACCCAGCAATATGCTCCCTGCAGTCATAGCAGCATCACTTCTAGGTCCCAAAGCTGCTCAAGAGGCAGAGTTAAGGCACATGAGCATCCCGACACTAGTGAAGTCTGGGGTCCGAAGTGTGTGGGTCCATCTACTGTTGTACACTCAAATAATTCATTCTCTCTTGTGTGTAGTCTAGGAATCATAGAATCATAGACTATTAATTCTCATAAGAATATTAATTGTTGTAAGTCATGAACTTGTACTGTGGGCTTTTCTGCAGCCTGGCACTTACTTTCAAGGAGCATTTTCATTAAGACCTCTGACCCTCTGCAAATGTGACTGAAGTCAGCTAATAGGTTTTGAATTTATTAGGAGGAGACAGACAGACGGACCCAGATCATTAATGCACAGGGCTGTTTTCCCCAGTAAGCCAGAATAACAAAAAGAAAGAAAAAGGGATTGGGAGTGAAGTAAGGATTTGTTTATCACCTTCTTAATATTCTATCATAAAGCAGAGTCTTCCCCTCAGGGTTTGCTGGTGGTTTGTATATGTGTGTGCCTGTGTGTATACATAGTTTTGTATATAAATATCCAGCAACATCCCTTGTTTAAAAAGTCACAAATGAGAAGGATTTTATTAAAAGCATTTTGGGAAAAACTCTGCTCTCAGTTTCCCTGTCAATGTTTTTCTAAGCTTTCATTTTTTATTAGCCAAAATGTTTAGAATCCCCAGGAAATCCTGGGATGAACCATTTCCTCTTCGAGCTGTAGCCCTTAGGGGAAAAAGAAAAATCTCAGCTTCTTTCAAAGGTTAGACATTTTTCAAACTGTGTTTTCTGCAGATTTTTTAAATTAGAGAAAAACTGAGGTAGGAAGATGCTTAACTTGAGGCTGTGGTCCTGAGAAAGATTGTTCTCTTTGTAGAAAAGCCTTAAGAGACCCTTAGATTTGGGCAAGGAAATCTTTTAGGCTTGGATGTTAATGGGAACCGATTGCAGAATTGAGGTGTAACAGGTTCAATTGGAAGACCATCCTTATATTTTTTAATAGTAAATTAAAAAGTAACATTCACTTGTTCTCAACCAATTGTGTGTTTTATCATGTAATAGCTTTCTATTAAGAGGCTGTTAATGCCATGGAGATACTTTTATTGCTGTTGTTGTTAATAATAATAATAGTAATATAATTAAAACATAATAATAATTAAAACATAATAATAATATACCTGAGGTTTTGCAGGAGCAAATCCAAGTGACTGTTTCCTTTTCTTCAGGTAAACTTAAAAGGGAATCATAATTTTAAACTAATAGGTGCTTTCGTCCTGCACATACACACGTACATTGTTAATTTTAAACTCCCTTGGGGTTCACTCCTTAAAGAGGTTCAGTTGCTTAAAGTTAAGAATGTAGGTAAGAATCTGTGTCACAGACTGCAGCTTCGCTGGGCCAGCTGGAGCTTGGCATGGGTTACTTTACCCAGCTCTTGAGATGATGGTTATTCTTTGGGATGCATAGGGCACTGCTGTTATAAGAGAATCTGAAAACGTGGTGAAATGCGAGGCTAAGGGATGCAGGAGTCTCTTATGAAAAATGACACACCAATATAGTTTTTAGGAGTCTGAATTTGCAGTCACGATGGATCACTTTCTTTTAGGAAAAGTGTGTTTGCTTATTTATATAATTTGTGACAACCTGTCTTAACTGCTGTTCTTCTCACTTATTCATCTACTTTTTACCGAGTTTCCTTGGAAGGGGTTCTTAGAAAGCTGAACGTGAAAAGCCCAGGCTTGGTGTTTCAGTAACAGGTATAAATTACTCCCACAGTCTGTCACAAATATGAAAAGGTTTGTGGTAATTCACGTGAAATTTAGTAACCTTTTTGGTAATGCAAGGAAAAGAAATACCATCTCTAAGGACATCTATTTTTTGTAGTTACCAAAATTTACATAGTGAAGAGTGCTTGTGCCTTTCTGCTATTTTCAGGCTTGAGATGGGGACACTTGACTAGTCTGCTGGGATAGCGTTAATGATTCAGCATTTCTGTTCACTTTGTAAAAGGGTTGATGAAGGGGGAAAGACTAAAGGAGGGACACTAATAATGAATTTGCTAAAGTTCTGCTACTAAAACTACGCAGAAAGTATGCCACAGCTGTGACTACAGAAGTTCAGAAGATTTGATTTTCATTAAAAACCTTCCAACTGAGTTTGGGCTTTGGATTTAAGCTAGCAGTCTGGAAGCAGTCAGAGACAGTTTCCTTTTTCATTCCAGTGTCTCTCATGTAGCCTACTAGTCAGCATAGATAGCCTAAAAGTTCTCAGACCATGACCTCTGAGTCATATATGCGTGGTCAAGTTATACTTTATGTGTAAAACCAAGGAGCTTATGATAAGGTCTTCTGCTAGTAGGGGATGTTGAATCTGACTCCACTTCCAGTTGGGGATGCCTGAAGACCAGCCCTTGTTACTGTGGGCCAGAATGGATTCATTAATAGGTTAATAGACTTCAGGTGCAGGAGAGTTTTCCAGTTTGTCATTTTAGGCTTTGCTGCTTTGATTCCCAATATTTAACTTCTCCCGTTTTATTGACTGTGTTTCTACAGGTGCTGTTCGCTCTAAACCAAACTCTGCTGCAACATGAAAGCCTCCGAGCAGGTAGTTTGCAGGCCCCATATACCACCGAAGATCTCATCAAGCATTATAACTGTGGAGACCTGAATGCTGTCATATTCAACCATGACACTTCTCAGGTAGGCAAAGTTTTGCAGATGGGCCCCAGTTAATTGACAACAAATCAGCAAAGAGTGATGTCCCTGTTAACATCTTATGCTCCATCTCCACTTCACCTCTTCAGTTTGATGCCCTGTGTTTTCTTTCCATCCTCATTTACCTGGTGGGAGAGTGAGGTTTCCTTTCTATTGCTTGGGCTCTGGGGAATCATAGAATCATTTAGGTTACAAAAGGCCTTTAAGATCGTCAGCTCCAACCATTAACCTGGCACTGCCAGGTCCACCACTAAACTGCATCCCTAAGAACCACATCTACATGTCTTTTAAATACCTCCAGGGATGGTGATTCAGCCACCACTCTGGGCAGCCTGTTCCAATGCTTGACAACCCATCTGGTGAAGAAATTGTTCCTAATATCCAGTCTAAACCTCCACTGGTGCAACTTGAGGCTATTTCCTCTTGTCCTGTCATTTGTAACTTGGAACGAGGAAGGGAATGCCTGGAAAGCTTTCTGAGGAATGTGCTTGACAATAAGTTAGTATGGATGTTTGTGGGGCTGTTGAATGTAGTCTCCTCATTCAGGGCATAAAGAAAAAAAAAGACTTTGTAATATTTGAGCTTATATATGAAGAGGAAGTGAACTTTATGTAAATAGTCTATAAAGTAAATAACTTCTCAAACATGTCATAATTCAATGATTTTGTATGTGTCTAAGGCAGCCCTTCAGTCTCTGTTTATCTTAGTTATCCAGTGCTATTAAAAACTCTCAATGGAGCAGGAATCTGCTTTCCAGACCAGTTTGATAGTTCATGGCAAACTCTGAGATCCTCATTTAATACATAGGTTACTCTTTCTCCTTTCCTGTTGGAGAAACTTGGTCCTTGGATGTCTCCTCTCTCATTTTTTGTTGTGTTTTCCCATGTTCTTGCTCAGGTGCAGTGGCTTACTTGGAGAGGACCTGTATGAACTTGGACAATCAGAAGTCCTTAAATTCTGGACAAATGGTCATCTATCCTTCTTTTCCCTATCTGGTTATCATTTTCAAATAGTAGAAAGTGTGGTTGATGATAATGGATGGAATAAAAACCTTTTGCTATCCCAGTTAATCCAATCTTAGAAAAGGAAGCATTGTTTTAGCATGACTGATCAGGGCATAACGGAGTGGTTAATGTGGCAGTGCTGAAACAGAAGTCTGTGCAATACTAAAGCTACCAGAGCTGTTCATTCTGGACAGCCTTGCACTGAAAAGTAAAGGGAGAAAGCGACTCAGGTAGGAATACATCTCTGAAGATGGGAGGTGCAAGTTCAATCTTTAGAGAACTGGGGCATCCTGGAGAAATCAATGGTTTTAGCTATCCCTGCAATGCTGAGGCACAGCGCACAAGGTAAACATAATGACAGACTGAAGCACCTCCCCCTATGTATGGAGACAAGCTGAGAGAGCTGGGGTTGTTCAGCCTGGAGAAGAGAAGGCTCTGGGGATACCTTAGAGCAGCTTTCAGTACTTGAAGGAAGGTACAAGAAATCTGGAGAGAGACCTTTTACAAGGGCATGTAGTGACAGGACAAGGGGAAATAGCCTTAAACTGGGTAGATTTAAGGAGATCAGATATAAGGAAGAAGTTCTTTACTGTGAATGCAGTGGCATACTGGCACAGGGTGCCCAGAGGAGCTATGGCTGGCCCATCCCTGGCAGTGTTCAAGGCCAGGTTGGACGCACCTTTGAGCAGCCTGATCTAGTGGAAGGTGTCCCTGCCCATGGCAGGGGATTGGAACTGGATAAGCTTTAAGGTCCCTGGCATCTGGATGTTCTGTGTCATCTTCTAATCTGTTAGTGTATTTTCTCCCGCAGTAAAGCCTTTGTCCCTTTGACAAGTTGTGGCCGTTCACACTGGTTGCATTGACTCACAGACATCTGTGATTTGTTGACACAATGTCCTGTAACAGACCTGTGGGTTAGACTTGAGAGGAACAGAGTGCTGTAAAAACTTCTTTATCCCTGCAAATTGTTGGATCAAATGCGAGTTTAAAATCAGTGTTAAAGAAAGAAGCAAGCAGCCAACAACCAGAGTTCAAGCACTGGTGTTACTCGCAGTTCCAGAGTGCACACAGTTGATAGAGATTGTAACACTTGCAGGCCATGGAAAATTAAAATCCCTATATGTATACTAGTCCCTGCAGAACTCTAAATGTTGTGGAGTACTTCCTTTCATAGGTTGTTGTTTTTAATTTGGGTAAAGAGGGTTTTTGTTTGGTAGTATTTTTATAAACCAGCTTTACACCATTTATTTTAATTGCAAGCAGAACAAAATAGAAAATTAAACCCTAAATAAACTCCCTATTCAGGTCAACTTTTGCCAGTTGTGATAATTCCAAAGTTTATTCTGCGTGGTTTTGCAAGGATAATAGACTCTCTCTCTGCCATAGAAAGTCTTTGCCTTTTGGTTACCAAATTAGATTAGCATGGCTTAAAGATTACACATGAAGCATCCCCCGTGGGATCTTTCTCTTGAGACATTAAATGTAGGCATAGAGATTTGGCATACGCTGAGAGTGTACTGAATGTCTCATCAGGTGACAACGAATGATGGGCCTACAAGTGCAGAAAAACTATAAATATCCCAAATGAAGTGCATCATCACTTACACTTCAGGGCAGGTACCCATGCCCATCCAGTCTTGGGAGAGAAGAGTGTCACAGTGTTTTTAGAAGGTGTGCCCATTCTTCTGTGATACCCACCTGCTGGCCCAGCTCTTCAGAGGGTCTGGTAATAAGTCCTTGGAGCTGGTACCATTAATGCAACTTTGAAATACCACATAGGAAGGAACAGAAGACTGGGACTGGAGTTGTTGGACTCAGCGCTTAATGTGAACAGTGGAGGGCAGGAATTCAGCTCTGTCCGATGTATCCAGGGAGATCTGGAGAAGGCTGCGGCTCTCACTCTTTGAAGATTCATTTGGGGGCTGTTTATAAGGTCATTAGCGCCTGCTTATCCCTGGAAGATCAAACAGGAGCTGCAGAATAAAGGTGAACTTGGCCATCAGTTGCCTCAGTTCCGAGCCATTGTTTTAGGTCACTGTAAGAAACTGCGAAGCAGCTGAGAAAGTCTAACACTACTGCAGGGATAGTAGTGGTAGGGAGTATTTATCTCGGTGCAATAACTTCCTAAATTCCTCTACCGTGAATCTTGGGAGACTTAGCATCTTCAGTAGTTGTCTACAAGATAGTGAGATGCCTTTAGAGCAAAACTCATCGTGGAGTGGAAAAAAGGACCAGAAGCAGACATACTGAAGCTGTAGACTCAAGGAGTTATGGATGAGTTTCTTGAGCCTCTTACTCCTCCCCAAGGGAATTTGGGAAATGCGCAGTTTGTCAGCACCAGTCGTCTTGACTCCTGCAGTGTTTGGGAGAAGAGGACAGAATCATTCTGGAACCAAGTCTCCCAGTGTGCAGTCTTTTCCCTGTGCACTGGGAGGAAAAGTTCAGGGAAGGTTATTTCTAAGACCAAATCAGGAGCTTGATCAGAGAAGAGCTCCTTTGGCACCCAGGGACAGGGACAGGAGCTCCCCAGGCAGATGCTGCTGCCTTGGGGTTGGGAAGCCCAGCTTAGCCAGGGTAAGGTGCCTGAAATGGAGGGGTGTGAGCAGGGCCCCAAATCCCTGATGTTTTCTGTCCTGGAGCCATCAGCATTGATGGCAGTGAGGACTAAACAAATCCTTCTCAGTTTCAGTGGTGTTTTAGGGTTTTTTAAGTCTTAATTAAGAACAGTGAAAGCACACCTCTGCTTTCCCGTGGTTCTGTGACATTCCTCATTCCTTTCTATTTCTTCTTAAATCTTGTTTCCAAGCACCAGTTTTCCCAAATGCATAAATCCTTATTTAAACTCAGTAAAGTTTTAAGGGGCTGAGTTTATTCAGTTAGACCATGACCCAAAAGGGGAATAGGAAACATCTCTCCTTCTACAGCTTTCTGCAAACACTTCATTCTCTTGTGACTTTTGTAATCAAGAGGCTTATGTTGGAGTTTCTGGGCAAAGAGTCAAAATGATATAGAAGAAAAGTATTCCAAGTTAAAGATAGGACAGGCGTATTTTCTGCTCTTTCTTCAAACTATTTTCCCCTCAAAGAAGTCAGATTCTTTGTGTCCTTTTGAAACAAGTTCCTTACAAGCAAAACCCCATTGCATTCGATCACTAGCTTTAACTTCTGTATTCTGTGTGATGCTCTCGCAAGGGAATTGAGGTCAGCATGTCCAGATGCGTTAAAATGTAAATGATCTTTTAGTGCAAACTTAGTAAATTATCTACCTCTAGAGGATACTTTTTCTTACCTGAGACATTGCTGCATGACCTGAAGCCTTGGTGGAAGAAAAGTAGGGTGCAGATCATGTTCCCTAAATCTGATATAAACGTCTTTCTCCAAACTTAAACGTCTGAGGTTTGGGTTCAGCGGTTCCTCGCACCAGTTGCAATCTTGTGGTTTGTTTAGAGTTGTTCATTTGTTTAAAGACAATTCTGTAAAGCAGACTCATCTTTGCCAGCATAGAATCAGCCTGTTCTGTGTTCCCTTGTATTTCTATATGTGCTTTATTAAGAGGAAGATCAAAAAGCCAAGGCTGAGACTCTTCTACTTCAACCTCTCCCAAAAACTGTACCTGTTGTCTCCAGCTATTGTTTCTACTCTTCTGTCATCAGCCATGCTCCTGCCTTGAGGAGAGGTTCCTATCCCAGGAGAAGATGGTTTCTCCTCTCTCATTACTTACCTGCCATATCAGAGGCTTGCGGCTACACTGCTTCCTTTACAAGTAGGTTTCTTCAAGACAGTTTCTCCTGGTTGCGTACTTGTTATTTACCTGTCCCACAGGGGGTAAACAGTATGGTACAAGAGTCATACCTGCCACTTTGAAAGCATCTTTCATCTAGAGAGTCCTTATGGCTTGTGTGTTAGACTGTATTGAAAGCCCATTGAAATACTGGAGAATATTATTCTCCACAGGCTTTGTATGAGTTTGAATGGGCCCAGC